ATTATAAGCCTGTGTCGGGCTTTGTAAAAATTACATACTACTATCTAAACTAGTCTCTACTCTAATTTAACTAATTAATATATTTAAGTGGAAAAATAGGGAAAGTGCATTTAAAAAGGTCTAACTGTATTTACATAATAAGTAAAAGCTTCCTAATATAATTTCTTTTATATAATTTATAAAAAAATTTATTTAAATTTTAATAAAAATAAAAACATAACTTTACCTTTAAATATTAAAAAAAAATAAAATAAACAAAATTGTTTTTTAAATATTTTAAAACATTTTTATTATAAACAAATATTTTCTATATTTAAAATAATCAATTTTTTTTTATTTATCAAGACCGTAATCTGATTGGCCGATTAGCATGTGATATTGTGTAACCGAAACGTCTAGAATTATCTGATCGATATTTTTATACCATAAAAGGTGCAATCGACACTACCCAAATTTGGTAAATTGTCAGATTGTAGTTTATCTAAATCGTGAACGTTTTTTTCTCTGCACTATACCATTTCCATCACTAGTCGTATGAGTTCGGCGAGTACCCGAACCTGAATTCGGTCCTCCATCTGCCCATTGGAAAAAGTTACATTTCTTACCTGCCTTTGGGCATGAAAAATAAGGCCTTCCATGATTAACTCCAGGAGACTTTGTCTTATTAGAAGCAGCGTATAAACCACATTGACATTTAGGATGATCTGATTGCCTTGAACCAGATTGCGTCGCTGAAGGTTGAAATCCTGACTAAAAAGAGTAATAAATTAGTGAGCACGCGCTTTATAATATTAAAACGAATATATAAAATCTGTTTTATATTGTATACCAACCGCAGAAGGTTGAAAAGGTCTTCTAATTGGTTGCACAGGATGCACATGATTCACAGGATTCGGACGGTTTTCAAGCTATATGATCATAGAAATTTAGTGAATTAATAATAATGATGGCATCACATGAATACATACCAACATATTATTAAAGGTATCAAGGTTAAGAGCGGACCCGGACGTTGTTAAACGATTAGAAAGGCTCTAATAATAAATAAATAAATAAAATAATCAATATATAGATGTAATCCTCAAACCATATATGATTAATCCTTACTTGAATTAATTTTTGCACGTTTTCATTTGTCTTGATATACATGTCTTTATACATGGAGAGACTATCCTTAATCACATCCTCTTTCTGTTGTCGTCCCTCACAAACCATTTTAAGTTTTGATTCCATCTGATAAGATTATGGTATTAATGCAATAAGTAAATATAAACATGGCAAGAATAAAAATCAGTTCTAATGCATATTTCTCACCTCTCTTCTCAAAAATGGTTTAGACAACGACTTATCAAATCCAATAGAGTCGTAACCTTCGACGAGTGCAACCCCCAAGTCCGATGGTAATATATATGTTTTCCCATTCCTATTGTCTTTTCTGGCGTATTCTCGTTCAATTATTTTAGCGATATGGACATGAATGGTCGCATCAGTACCTGTTAAAATAAAAATAGTTAATACATTTTTCTTAATTAAAGTTAATAATAATTTCATAACTTACCTATGCCGTTCTGGTCCATTATGCTAATCAAATCAGCTTCAGTCAAGTATTCGGGCGGTGAAGTACGCCCTTCTCGCATTTCACATGTGGTGGGTATAAACGTTTCACCTTTCTGAAAATTTGGTAAATTGGACTCGCCCCAACGATCGTAAGGATATACATCCAAATAATTCCTAGCCAGTATCACAAGTCCTGTACAAAAATTATTATTATCAAATATTCTAATGTGGATACACAATATTTAACATACCTTTAGCAGTAAATTTTTCTTCCCATAATTTGATTTCTATGGTCGTTTCGTGCCCTACGGCATGATCTGAGCAACATGCCAAAAAACGTCTAACAACAAACTCGTATACTTTTAGTTCGTCTCCTGTTAAATCAGATGCATAAAGAGTCGGCTGAATTGGAG